TTACGCTTTACAACTTCATATTAAAGATCATCAGCACGTAACTTATAATAGTAAAGATGATTTATCTGTTATTATTGGAAATGAGTATACAAGAAGAACAATGCTAACTGAATTTTTTCGGATGAATGAAGTAAATGAATTTGCTCGAATGCTATTGTATCGAGATTTTCCAACACATTTTGTGTGGAATGCAACTGGAAAAACTTGGACTCCCAGAAAACAACACATTGTTATAGGGCGAATCGTGACAGTTAATCCATCCGAAGGAGAACGATATTTCCTTCGTGTTCTTCTGAATCATATTAAAGGTCCAACATCATATGACAGTTTTAAAACTTTAAATGGAGTAATAGTCAATACATATCAAGAAGCAGCACTTTTACATGGTTTGTTAAAAGGAGACAACCATTGTGAAGAATGTCTATCTGAAGCCATTATTTACAAAATGCCCAGTTCTTTAAGACGTCTTTTTACTACACTTCTTATACTTTGCAACCCTAATCATCCAAAGTTATTGTGGGATAGATATAAAGTCTATATGATTGATGATTATGTACATCGAAACATATGTGTTAAAGATGCTGAAATACAAGCTTTGGAAGACATCAATTCTATATTAGAGTTGTCAGGAAAAAATGTAAATTATTATGGAATAGTTTCATTCTTTGTAAATATAGATGAGACTCAAAGATTGGCAAGAATGATTGCAGAGGAAACAATGAATTTTAATATTCAACGAGACTTTAATTGTGTAGAGAAATTCAATAAAGAACAACGATTTGCATATGATAAAGTTATGGAAAAAGTAAAAAATGACTCAAGTGGTACTTTCTTCATTGATGGTCCAGGGGGAATGGGGAAGACTTTTTTATACAAAGCACTTCTAACTGCTGTAAGAGGTCAACATTTCATTGCTTTGGCAACAACGTCCTTTGGAGTCGTTGCGTCTCTATTACCTGGAGGTCGCACAGCTCATTCAAGATTTAAAATTCCTTTAGAAACAATTGGTGAAGTGAATTGCTCTGTTAGCAAGCAATCAGCTTTAGGAATAATGTTGAAAATGTCTAGGTTAATAATTTGGGATGAAACGCCTATGGTAAATCGTTGCGCTATTGAAGCTGTAGACAGAATGCTTAGAGATATTACTGATTGTAACTTGCCTTTCGGTGGGAAAGTGATAGTTTTTGGAAGAGATTTTCGACAAATTCTTCCAGTGGTACCGAGAGGGAAAAAAGATGATGTAATGAAAGCTAACTTGGTCTTTTCAGACCTATGGCCTTCCTATTTATGTTTACCATTGGTTGAGAATATGAGGGCAAAATCAGATCCTATGTTCTACACTTACTTACTTAGAATTGGAAATGGAACAGAAGAAGAACATACTTGTAAGTGTATTATGCTTCCGAATAGTATAATTCTACCATTTGAAGATGAAATCACATCTTTAAAAATTTTGATACATCATGTTTTTCCAAATAAACAGGCATATGTTGACAATTTACATAATATGATAAATAGAGTTATTCTTACACCTACGAATGAATGTGTTGATTATATTAACAAGATTTTACTCGAACAAATTCTCGGTGATTTTTCCACATACTATAGTTTTGATGAAGCAATTGACAAATCGGAACAAAGCTTGCACGAAGATTTCTTGAATACTTTGACACCAAATGGTATTCCACCGCATGAATTGAAACTTAAGGTAAATTGTCCTGTAATGTTATTACGGAATATTAATCCTTCCGAAGGATTATACAATGGAACACGCCTTACTTGTCGAAAATTTGAGAAAAACGTAATTCTTGCTGAAATTACAACTAGTGAGTATTGTGGAAAATATGTTTTCTTACCAAGGATCCCTTTTATACCTCTTCAAAGTGATCGAAACTCAATTCAATTTAAGAGAACTCAATTTCCAATTAGACCGTGTTTTGCAATAACAATAAATAAAGCACAAGGTCAAACACTTGATTTTGTCGGTCTATATCTTCCAGAACCAGTTTTCTGCCATGGTCAGCTATATGTAGCATTATCAAGAGCAACAACGAGCACATCTCTAAAAGTTTTATTGAAACCATCAAGCATGGACAACTCACATAATACATGTACTAAAAATGTTGTGTACAAGGAAATTCTTTCATTTATACATTCATATACCTAAAATGTTTGAACATGTATATTTTTTATCTTCGAGAAATTTTTATAATATGTTCTCGTACAATAGTTTCCTCAATTTTAAATACATGAAAAATTATGTCGTTACTATTTTTTTCATTCTTTGCATTTGCTATAAAAAAATTTCACAGGTTTCATTATCGGGAATGAAAAGTTCTTTTTAATTCTTTGTTACATGTGTACAATGGAATCACTAATGACAGCTTCAATTACAACTTGCGTTTGCAAAAGGTATGATTCAAATTTTTTAGTGTTAGTTTAATAGTTTGCCAGATCGATAACTAATTTACTTTAGTAAAATTTCAAAATAAAAAGTAATTTCTCTATTTTTAGAATATATTTACCCTTAAGAGTTTCACATTGTCACATAAATATTCTTCCATCAGTTAAAATGTGCTCTTATGCCAATTATTACAATGTTCAACTTTGTCAAAAAAAATAAAATTAGTATAATTATGGATTTTATGGAAACTCAATTTCAGATTCCCTTATTATCAACTTCAAGTTGTTTCCCCTCATATATTTTACAGTCTTTCACATTTAAGATATATGTAATTAATACTATTTCTACTACCTCTTAAAAGAGGGAGTTTATATTACTGTTCATTTATATCACAGCCGTTTACACCCACTGTTCCACAACCGTTTTTTCTACAGTACACATTTTTTTTTTTGAATAAATGAAACAGAATCTCCTTTCTTAACCCTAAACAAAACTCTAGCTTGCTTTCTCAAAACTCTTGCCCTTGTTCTCAAACTTTCAGATTTTGCAACTCGACGGCTAAAGGAGAGATCCATTTGAAGTACACTTGAAATACACTGTCTATGTTCTTGGCAATGGAAGAAGGAGGCTTTTTTCTATTATTCAACTTTTGTTTACGGTAAGGGCCTAGCTCTTCTTCTTCTTCTTTTTTTCTTTTCGAGTTAGCGGAGGAAGGTGATAATGAAGAGTATAGGACGACGATGGTCACTGTAGTAAATGGCAGAAGAATCGAAGGCTGTCAAACTTATTTGATAAAGAAGCACATATTAATAACGAAAAAGAAGAGGAAGAACGTTGTAGCCAATAATTTTCTTTTTTAGTTTAGTTTTCGGAAACCTTTTGAGTTGTTGATGAGGATTTAATTCAATTATGTTGATTTGTTATGGTGTTCTAAATCTTGATTGATTCAACTGGATTTCTAATCCTTTTGATTTTCTTTTAATAATCTAATTGATGTCAATTAGTTTGTGAGATAGATTTGTTAAAAATTAGTTTCTCTATGAATATTATAAGTTCCCTAAATTTAAGTCTTAAATATAATTTGTCTGCCCTTAGTGCATCATACGTTCTGATTCTTGGACAGTTTTATGCTACTGTAATTCTATCAATAGGGAGACTAATGCTTGATTTTCCTTTTGAAGCTCATGGTTTATTGAAATCATTTTGCTGCTTCTGCTTCTTGCTGGTTCCACTTGTACACTAACGGAATTGCACTTTAATTGCTTACAAATGATGTGTAAAATACGATTTATGGCTTTGTCATCAGCTATTTATAATCTGATTTTTTGCTTTTATAATGAATTAGTCTAATACACTACTTTATGCAAGCTACTTAAAGCATTATCTTAATTTCTCTAGGTGTGGTTGCAGGATTAAATGCTCAACATGGTGTTAATTTAAGCACACCTACGTCTTTTAGCAATCCTGTTGCTGGAGGTAATAATAGTATGGACATGGGGGTAGTTGTTCGCTCTAGCAGACCTTTCGCAATGGTCGATAAAATTACAAAAGGATCTTCAGCAGTAGTAGATGGCTTACAGCTTGGAAATCAAATTGTAAAATTTTGGAATATGAAAATAGGTGAGAACTTGGTACAGAAGCTTACTACTGAAGCTCAGATAAATCAGAGCCATGCAATGCTTGTGGTAGTTATGGGGCAAGGTGTTTTCATAAATTTGACCATAAAACCCAACTCTTGGCAATGTCATGACCTACTTGGTATGTTACATTCTAATCATATTTTATATTTTTCCCTTTTGTTTAAACTATGTTTCAATTGGTCAATAAATCTCATTTATGCAAGCGAATCATGAAATGTTCAATTTCAACAAATCATCTTGAACTAAAAATATGCTAATGTTATATATTTGAATTCTGTTGATTTTATACAATAAGATCAATAATACATAAGTTTCTTTTAATTTCGATAGTCCAATAATATTCCTTGTTCTAATTAAGTTTTACATAGAGATGGTTTGATGCTCTTTTAGAATTTAATGAACATTTTATGCTTTCCCTTTACTTCGTGCAACGTTAGGAAATATTTGAGTGAATTTAACATTATTCTTCTTGATAGAATATACAAAACTGGTGTGTGTACATTAACGCTTTCCTATTTAATCATCTAACTTTGTTCGGTGAACAAAAAATTTTGTGAGCAACTATTTTTATTATATATACATTACATATTTCTTTATCAATGCATGAATTGATTTTATGGGAAACTTAATAAAAAAAATTTTACTAATTTTATTATTAATCTAAATTCTAACCAACAATGTTATTTTTTCAGAATAGGATTACAGTCATCATATATCTAAAGACGATTAATCTTACATGGTCGAAAATATATTCACTTTCAATGCTGATAAATATGCAAAGATGGAATTTGGATTGAATTATATGATGATATGTTTCCTTGCATTATGCTATATTGTTATGTTTCTTAGTATATGATATTTTCAATTTTTATTAATCGAATGATGAACATATGAAAAGATAAATTTTCAAGATGCTTATTCTTTACATTCCTACTCTTTTAAAAAATGGAATCTTACGTCTACTGTTCATCTAGGAAGCATTTTAAGTGTTTTTCATTGTATCTCCAAATCCATCTGGCAAAGTAATTCTTATACTAAGGGTCTAATAATTTTTTTTATACGATATATATTCTTCTCTAGCCAAAGACAATCTGCTACCGAAAACTTTAATTCATAATTCCATCTTAAAAAAAAAACATTAGCTAGCCCTAATTTCTCTTCTTCTTCTGAATTGTTGAAATTAATTCGAAATAATCTATAGGAATTGAAACATTTTTAAGTATAATTCGCGTACGGCATTTCTCTTTGAAATGTTATGTAATTTCAATTTATTATTTGTAGAATATTAGACACAGTATTAGTGAAATTTAGTGATCGCTGGTTCAGTATGTGTGAAGATCAATTTGGCTAATTTTCGCCTTGCTTGTCACTATTATATCTAATTCAGCATTGACATTTTTTTACCTTTCTAGGTTTCTTCAGGTTAGAAATGACTTATATTCTTTGACAAATAAGAAGTTGATTATTGCAATAGATATTTAACCATACATATAAATTCTCTAAATATCTTCTAACTCTTTTCTATAATCGTTTGGACTGCTCTACGTTTCATATAATCTTCATGTCATGCTTGATGTTGTCGCAAACAAGGGATAAGATCTGCTATCTTCATTCGTTCATGTCTTCAGTTAATATAACTTTAGATAAGAAATTCAGTCAATTATATCAAATATGTACTTTTGAATTTTTGCATCCTTTTGTCTATGTTATTTTAACTCTGGTCCTTCCTAAATGAATGCATTATGGCAATTAATGCATGAACGTTGGACGTCCTATATCTAATCTATTTATCGTCTTTTTTGTGGTAAGGTAAACCGACAATGAGAAGTTAGCTGATGATGAAGAGGAAACTAAGGGGAAGTACATCCATGGTGATGTATTCAAGTACCTGAAATACAAATTCTTGTTTATAATAAATGATGGTTCAACTTTAGTATCCTTTATTATATTTTCCAACGTCCTGGATTCGAAGTTTTCTATTTACTCTTTCACTTAATTAAAAACTAATGTTTTTCATACAATTCATACATTTTTCGACCATAAATTGAATTTTCTTCTTACTAATGTAATAAGTGAACACAATAGTTTTTCAAAATACATAAATCCAACAGAAAATAAAGAAAAAAAGACAAACAACAACGATAGTAACATTTAACCTGATAACACCTATGATAATATAAGTTAAGCTCCCCACAAGTTCGTGAATAGATAAAATCACTTAATAAATAAAGTGAATAAATAAAGTTACTTACTAAATGTATTATGCATGAAGCACTCGTATTTGAAACATATGGATTAACAATCCTTCTTCCAATTTGTAAATCTAACATAATGTATTAAATTTTAGCAAATTATAAAGTAATATTTTTCAAAATCAACAAGTGAACCAGTAAAAAACTAACATAGAAAACTACCAACTTTTTATCAAAGCCTTTTCAATTCTAAGTATATATCTACATGAAATAGATATTTTACAAATGACAAAGTGTATGGTTGGATATTAAAACAAATATTCTTCTACTCATGTTCTATCTATTAATATCTGCTTTCGACTAAATAATTTTATGTTACTTTTACTTTCCCCTTCAGCATCAAAATTCTACAACAATATCGTAAACATCATACTCTTCAACTACAACTGCAAAAGTTTAAAAACTCCGTTTTCGTTTTCGTTTTCTTATTGGTAAGTTTTACATGTTACTATCATTTTACTATAATATCTTTTATTAATCCAAAAGAAGAACGTTAGATTATTTCATAAAAAACTTTTAGAATTAAAAAAATTGATATCATTTTTTTACGATAAATTTAACGTAATATTAACAACTGTAACTATTTGTGTAACAATTTCTTCTTTACATAATCATAGGATATCAAGAATGGCCGCATTTTATAAACTTATCCCACAGATTTCCACTTTTGAGAAGAATTGGACTGCAAAAATCATAGTTGCAGGAAAACAAGCACCTAAAACTGCTCGAAATAACATTAGCCGCTACCAAAACCTTCTCTTAATGGATTTAGAGGTAAATATATATTTACGAATCTTCTTATTTCTATTCTAAATATTTGTTTTCGTAATATATTTATATAGAACTCATTTTTACATTTGAACAGGGTAAC